AAATTTTTGTGATTTTTTTTTTTTTGTTTACTTTGTGATTTCATTGTGTTGCATCGATTCATAATCTGTTTATGACTTGAAGGTATATTCATTGTGTTTATGAACACTAATGTCTGTTTTTTAATTTCTTTTTTTCGGCTTCATCTGTCAAAGCTCTAGAGACGTAGAATCAGAATTCACATTGATTTCGTGCGGATTGATTAGTTTTACAAATCTCATATTTTTGTATATCTAAACGTAATATATACAGTAAGTAAACATAATTTTATTCCTGTAACCTTGAATATTTATTTAGTAGATCTGTTTATTTTACAGGAACATGACTGATGTGAATGTGTTTATACATCACAATCGAGCGTGGATCAACAATAAATACGTGTACTATCAAGTCGGAGGTATCTTGATTAGTAAATTATGTGACTACAATCAGCTCCGAGATATTGTGTTTGATAAACTGAAAATAAACGCGTATTCAAATGATCTTGATATGAAGTATCAAGTTAAGGATGGATATCCACCTATGAATGTGGATGACTTGCCGAGGAATATAGGGATGAGAGTAGAATAGCATCTAATACCATTGAAGACAATATTGTCAAACTCTTCCGATCGACAAGAATTATATACAACTAGTCTCCTCACACCAAGCGACAATCGTCCCAGTATCCAATGTCCAACACCATTTAGTTTAACATGAATGGGAAAAAACACACACTTGTATTAGAACTTTTTGAAAGGTATAAGTCAAACAGAGATTTGATCTTCTAATCAAATAGCACGTCGATGGTGGTGTATCGTACGACCTCAAAAGAACCATATGGTCCGAGTTTCTGAGATAATAGAATAAAACATCCATATGTTGAAGAGGAATGAAAAGACAGAGTTTAGTAGATATCTTGAAAATTTTGCTATAAAACAACAGACATGTATACTAAAAATAAACATTAGATAAACATGTGCATAATCAAACAAGTTTTAGAATATAAAGTTGGTCAATTTGCTATAAAACAACAGACGTATATACTAAAAATAAATATTAGATAAACATGTGGTTCTTCATATAACAGCAATGTATACTAAAAATAAACATTAGATAAACATGTGCATACTCATACAAGTTTTAGAATATACAGTTGGTAAACATTAGAATATACTCTCTCAAATAGTAAGCATCATTTTTACACTCACTTTCAACATTACATTTAATATCTCAACCTTCAATACTGGAAAGGAAATAGAAATAAAAAAAAAAATGGCATTGGTAAGCAGATCCTTCAAACTCATCTACTTTCTCCTAATAATCCTCACTCTTGAGACTCCCATTGGAACATACCTGTGCATCAAACTCCTCCACAGAGACTCCATTCAATCCCCATTTTACACCCGAAACTGAACCCAAACCTGAACCGAAAGACTCAAACTCCTCCTTCAGACATCATCATCATCAAACACCAGAACCAAGATTTTCTTAAACCATAATAGATCACAAAACAAAACCTCGACCTCGATTCCCCCGATACTTGACAACCAGGATGTAATGTACATGGCCCAGGTCAGCATCGTCCATGTAATCTAAGAAAATTGAGTTAGTGAAGTTGATCGAATATGTTCAGATATATTGTATATATACATAAGATAAACAACATGTAAAATGCATCTAAATTAACCGTATAGTTATACATAAGATAAACAACATATAAACAATACAAACGAGATAAAACATAACACACAATTCTGAGTGACTGCAATATGATTAAACTTAAGATAAACAAACAATATATAAACACAAAACCTCGTACAACTAAGGCACATGTACAATTAAACATATCTAATCTAAACTAAATCTCGAACCGTACTCTTGTTGAAAATAAGAAGAATCAAGGGGTTTGGGATCGACAGACGATGCGACGACCAAGGACGGAGGAGTGTCGTGGTATACCACTTGGCTCTCGGTTGAGAATCTTCCCTATGAGTGACGACAGATGATGCGACGGCCAGTGGCGGCGGAGGGTTACGTGGTCCCGTTGGGCTCTCGGTTAAGAATTAAATTTTTGGAGCGACATCTTAGATTCATGGCTCAATGTATGGCGGCGGCGACCGGCTTCTTTTGGACGACTTTATGCTCGTATGGTTAATTTTTAGTTGTTAGACGAGATAGTGAGAGTTATCAAACTTCATCTTCACTTTGATGATTGACATCTTGTTTTCTTCGCTTGGCAATTGATGAATCTATGGAAGATGAGCGTTCTATGGGATTTTTTTTTTCTCCGTCTCCTGTCTTGTATGAGGTGAAGAAACAAAAGCCGAGATTTGGTGAGATTGAAATCGTGTTATCCTTGCTTCGTCTTCGCTATTGCAATATTTTGCCTCAATTATTTTACGCTTTGCCATTCTTCCAATTTTCGCAGAGAGGATTTCAGTTTTCTTGTGTGTGCGAGATGAGAGATGAAGATTTCTTTTTCTTTTTTTTTTTTGACAGACTGATGAAGGTTTTATTTTGTGAGATGTTATGTGCATAATAAACGAGATATGAAGAGAGAAAATCTTGATTTCTTTTCTTTGTCTTACGGTTGAGTATAGAAATGGTGGATATGCACGTTTCCCGAAAATCATGCAATAGTCTAATTGAGTGTGGTTTGTTGTTTTTGAAACTGACTTAATATCTGCCTTAATTAAATATAATTAAACCTGCTTAACGATTAATCAAGGCCCAGTTAACCACCTAACCCCTTTAAATTATTATTATGAAACGTATATATGATGAAAAGATTTGCTGCTCGTAAATGTGATATTATTTCCACAAGAATATGTAAAGGGAGTAAATTTCTCTATTCACAATGAGTGAGAAATTCAAATATCAACATAGGCATTTTTAATGGTAAAAGCCAAAAATGTTTAAAGCTGTTATTGCCGTTTGGAAGTTGTACAAACGGGAAACCTCACTGTTAAAGTTGACTTTTTAAGAAAAGAATTCTTATGAAGATACTGAAAGTAAATAAGGTCATTTAACAGTTGATAAATCAACAAACATTAATATTTGACTCACAGTCCATAACTGGGAAATTAAACTTGATCAGGTTTCAGTAATTACTATCTAATTGGGCTACAGGCATGCTATTAATGAAATTCAAAATCCACATGATAGGCAACTCAAATGTATACAACTTTGCTGAAGATCACATGGGAAAATAATCACATTATCAATGAGTTTAAACACAAAACATGAGATTCAGAAAACCTGTCAAAACTAGTATAATGAACATGGACAGCACCTCCGTCTTTAACCTTTATCTTGAGATACAGACCTCCAAATGATATGGTTCAAGTCTCAAATTAAACCTTAGGAATGCACCTACAACTTTCATTTAGAACATAGAAACATATGAGCTCATTTGAATGGTTAGAAATCGGTTAACATTCAGTTCCATATTTCTGCCAACATGATAATTCCTAACTCATGCATATCTAATTTCATAAAATCATAACTCGAGTCACAGAGCACATATTAACATGAAACTTATCTCATTTGAAAAGTAAAAGACAGATCTATAACTTTCATGAAGAGTGTAAGTTCATACGAGCATATTTTGACATGAAAAACAGACCAAACATTAAATCCAATTTTGCTGCCGGGTACGGAAAAACTGGAAGTACAACAAATCTTGTAAAAATCATAACTTTTTCAATATAGATCGGATTCGAGAAATTCCAAAGCCCAGATATAGCAAACTGAATATACTACATATCTCATGAAGTCCACAATTTCAAATAACCAGCTTAAGATAGCTTAAAACGCGGCACAACAGATCAGCAATCAAGTGTTAAGGAGGAAGAAAAGATTCACCTTTGACTCAAAATGGGTTGTAATGGATGGTGTCAAAGAGGCAGTTGCTGCAGGATGAGATATTTCTGTGGAAGGATCAAAGATGTTCTTGGTGCACGAGAAAATTAAGAGCACCAGAATGGCCTTAATAGCTTGGGCCAAACCATTGAGGAGAAATAATGAGAAAACAATACAAGTGTTAACAGCCAAATTAGAAGAGATGAGAAAGCAAGTAGGAGCAGTGAATTGGGGGTGACTGGGGGCATCTTAAGGCTGAGCTAGATGGTGCACGTAAGGAAGAAGAGATGTACTGGAGATTGAAGTCTAGAGCACTGTGGCTCAAGAATGGGGATAGAAATACCCAGCTTTTTCATGCTTATACAGCTCAAAGGAGGAGGATGAACTCAATCCACAAATTAACCACCACTAATGGGAGCTGTTGTGATACACAGGAGGACATCCAAAGCCACATCTCTGACTTTTATTCTAATTTGTTCTCTTCTGAAGGGGTGAGAGGGGGAGAGGAGCTGCTCCATCATATTCAATGCACTGTCTCTGAAACTATGAACAATGAGCTAGTCAAGCAGGTGGAGGAGGAAGAAATCATGGCTGCCCTCTTCACTATGCAGCCTGACAAGTCACCTGGGGAAGATGGGATGTCTGCTTCCTTTTTTCAACACTTCTGGCAGATAATTAAAGGTGATGTGTGTTGTGCTATTAAGAGCTTTTTCTCTACTGGTCATCTGTTAAAGAACTGGAACCACACTGTAATCACTCTAATCCCAAAATGTCTCTATCCTGAATCACTGAGTAATTATAGACCAATTAGCCTTTGTGGGGTGCTTTACAAAATCATTGCTAAAATCCTGGCTGAGAGACTCAAAGTGTGCCTTAATGATTGTGTCAGCTATGCTCAAATTGCCTTTGTCTAGGGAAGACAATTACTTGATAATGTAGTGCTTGCTCATGAAGTCTTCCACTTTTTGCATAGACATAGATCTGGGCCTAATTGCGTCATGGCAGTGAAACTTGACATGGAGAAAGCTTATGACAGAATAGATTGGGATTGTGTCAAGCAAACAATGGCTAAAATGGGGTTTCATTCTATTTTTGTTAAGTGGATATATAGTTGCATCTCTTCTTCTACTTTTTCATTTAATCTGAATGGGACAGTTGGTGGTTTTGTGACTCCAACAAGAGCACTTAGGCAGGGTGACCCATTATCACCCTACCTATTCATCTTGGTGTCAGAGCTGTTTTCCTCTTTTCTGAACTACAAGGTGGAATCTGGGCAGTTTCAAGGTATCAGAGTCTCTAAGGAAGGGTCTATGTTGTCTCACCTGCTGTTTACTGATGATGCACTCATCTTCTGCAAAGCTGATGCCCACCATTCAGCTATGCTTTTAGAGATACTTCAGAAATACCAAGCTTTTGCTGGGCAGAAGGTTAACCTCAACAAGTCTTCCCTTTTAATTAGTAAAAATTGCAGTGAAGACCAGCAGAGACAGATTTGTTCAGTTCTCAGAGGTGTTGTTATTAAAGATCATCAAAGTACTTAGGACTGCCTCTTGGGATTGGAGCATCTAAAGTAGTGGCCTTTCAATATGTGGTTGAAGCAGTTAAAGTGAGAGTTGAAAGCTGGAAGAACAACTTTCTTTCAACAGCTGGAAGGGAGGTGCTCATAAAAGCAGTGTTAAATGCACTATCAATTTTTGTGATGCCTTGCTTTGTGCTGCCTCATAGAATATGCTTGGTGATTTGCAGAGTGGTAGCAAGGTTTTGGTGGGGTAAGGGGGAGAACCAAAACAAAGGACTGCATTGGATGGCCTGGGATAAAGTGACAGTGCCTAAACAGGAGGGAGGGTTGGGGTTCTAAGATATTAAGCTTTTTAATAAGGCTCTTATTCTAAAACAACTGTGGAGGATGATTGAACAACCGGATCTTCTGGTCAGCAAGGTTTTAAAATGAAAATATTTTCCCTCTCATTCTCTTTCTGAATATCAGAAATCAAGTGGTGCATCATGGCTCTGGAATTCTTGGGCAGCCTTCATTCCTGTGCTGCAAAATCATATGAGTGTTGTTGTTAGAAATGGGATAAGCCTAAAGCTAAATGATGTGAATTAGATCCCAGGGGTGTATGGAGGAAGACCACAGATGAGAACTCAAGTTGAAGGGCATCTATTTTGTGTTAAAGATCTCCTGCTGGCTAGAGGCTGTGCATGGGATGAAGTGCTGGTCAGAGCTATCTTTGATGAAGATACAGCAGGAAAAATTTTAAATATCAAATCTCTAAATCCCAGTCTGGCAGATAAATGGAGGTGTTCATTTCTGAAGAAGGGTTCCTTCTCAGTTAAAGTGGCTTATTTTGTCTTGATGGATGAAAAAATTTGTTTGAGAGCAGTAACAGGTTGTAGCAGGATGGAAGAGGGCAACAACAGAGACAGGTTGAGATGTTGGAACATGAAAGTGGTGGGGAAAGTGACACACTTCATATGGCGATGCTTTTCAAACATTTTGCCTGTCAATGAGAATCTGTGCAGGAGGGGCATGCAGCTGGACCTGAAGTGCAAAGTCTGTGGGGCAGCAGATGAAACTCAAGAACATGTCCTCTTCTATTGTAGCAGAGCCCAAAACACTTGGAAGATGGCCCCGGTTCAGTGGAGTAGAGTGTATAAAGAACAGTTGACATTTAAAGAGTGGTGGTGGTGGATTAGCTCAATGAAGAAGAAGGAAAGCTGTGAAGATAGGATACAACTGTCCACATATATCCTTTGGTGGCTGTGGCGAGTGCGGAACTGTGGGTCTTTGAGAACAAATGGCACCATGAACCCTGGATCATAAAGACAGTAGTGCAGGAGTGGATGGAGTTCAAAAGTAGCAGCATGATGCCTTAGCAGAAGCTGGAGAAAGTAGACTAGGTCTAGTGTCAGTGGTTTACTTTTTCTCTAGTTTATAGCTGAGTGATGATGTGTATGATGCTTGTCTTTTTCGCCGGGTCATGTGTAGTTGATTTTATTAATTTCTGTGAATTTGTATTAAGGTCTCTGTTAGGCAGTACTGTGAGTACTAGGCCTCTCAGTTTGTGCGGATTTGGGGAGTCCCCATGTACATTCCTATTATTTTGGTAATGAGAAATGATATCGTTTGGGGAAAAAAAATAGATGGAAATAATATCAATAAAAAAAAATCATTAATTGCATAGTTTCCATATAATTTGACTTTCACTTTCTGTTTGTTTTTGTCAATTCTTGGTTTATTTTAATTATGTTAACAGTTGTTTTGTAGGAAAAGATTATATAAATAATTATATGTAGCTGATTTTGGAATTCTCATTTATGGATGATTTTTTTTTAACANAAAAAGATCTTCCAATAATTAAATAAAAGAGTGTCGATTTGGATCAATCAAATAAACAAGATATGGTCGTCAGCGGGAATGCAATTGTCTGATTCCTGGACACATAGTAATACTATACTTCACATTTCCAAACAGCTTCAACAAAATTGTACACTACATTTGACCGCACTTATCAATCATCTGGAGGTACTTTGCTCCACAAGTCTTAGATGGTCTCATGATCTATTTTTGCTTCTGCAATGAACAGAAAAATATTATTATCCATGACTTGGTAATCTCCAAAATAACACAATACGTTACTTCTAACTTTGGAAAAAAAAAAAAGAAAAAAAAAATAAACTGTCTTTCGATAGGACACCAACAGCTATTTGTCATTTTAGAAAAAGGTAACTGGAGTTTTATCTGTTATTAAGACTAACCCTCAAGTGCAGCTCTTGCAAATTACCCAAAACTATAGTTAAAATCTTAATCTTTCAGAACACCATATTATATTGAAATCCCAGGAATTTGAACTCTTCAGAGCTAACTTCATTAACTAACAAGAAAAAGACACTGCAGAAAGAATCTAAAACATCTTAATATCTGTAGGTAGTAGAAATCTAGTAATTTAAAAATAAGATGAGTTTATCACCTTCAATTGAGCCACAGGTGATGATTCTGTTAAGAAAACCACGAAATCTGGATAGCACAAGCCTTTCTTGTTCAACATATAACTGGTCAAGGCCATTTGTGGAGGCTGACTTCATGTTCATGCTTGGACTGGGCTCAATAATTGAAGATGGAGCTTTTTCTGCCATAAATGCCGTGTCTTGTTCATCACACATTAAAGCAAGTGTTGCTGGGGACCATGGTCTTTCCTTGTGAATATCAAATCCATTTGATTCACCATTTTCTTGGTTTTGGTGATCTTTGCTATCATGGGATGAAGATACTTGTGCAGGTTCAGGCTCAGTCATATCTGAGGAGCTACTGGTTTGGTTTTCTTCTGAAAATGTAAGATACAATTTCNNAACCATTAGGGTTTGACCTAATTACAAATAAAACTGATCTAACTTTTTTTAATCTACATAAAGTACCCCCAAAATTCTCCTTTGTCTCACATGTATCCTATCATGAGCAAAAGGCAATTCAAAACTCTTTTGTCATTCACAAAAATGTATTGTTGGCCCCTAAGTTCTAACAATGAAACAAACCTCAGGGGTGTCTTCTTGTAACTCCGTAAATTAGCTGGGTTACTTGGTTATTAGCTTAACTTTAAGGGTACTTTATGTAGATCATCTCATTACATTGACCGATTTTTATGAAATGTACTTGAAAAATTCTGAGCTGCTTCGGCTGAAAGTTCGACCAACAGTGTGCAGAAGTCCTTCACATGCTGTAATTGGAGGATCCCATCCAAAGGAGACCTTCAACCAGAATAACAATTTTTAAACCCTAAGTTGCAAGAGTAGTTCACTTAAATTTATACCACCACAAGGTATACAAAATTTACCTGTAGGAGGGTTTAGAAAGCGCAAATGTTGGTTTGGACGGGTGATGAGATAATGAGGATTTAGAGGCATCAGCTGTCAAGCAAAGTTCCTGATTACAAGGGAAATAAGATTCATCATGCAAAAGATGCTGAAAATATGTAATAGACAAACATTATAACCAATCCTGGAATTTACACAAGCATTTACCAAGTCTTCTTAACAAGGAATTGTGCTCAAGGCAATATCCAATGCAAAATTGGATTTTAGAAAAGAAAAAAAATGATAATAATCACTAATGACACACATTATCAATATGAAAAAGAATAACAACAATAATAAACAAATATAAGTGAATTATAATTCAAAAAAGTACCTGATGATATTGTGAAGGCCAGCTACTCAATTTTTTATTATTGGCCAACCCAAAAGCAATTTGTTGAGTTTTACCCTTCCTGTTTGGAGTTCCAATAGCTCCATTAATGGCAGCATTGGCCGCCTGTTGCATTAGTGCAATCGAATTTGTGGGATACTGATGAAAATGAGCTTTCCTCTCCTCACTCCCTTCATAGTTTTTGCAGTCCATGCATTTACATTTATCCGAGCATAGAATATTGGCCTGGAAGCACTCACAGTACCTCTTGAGACACCCAGATTTCTTACAATGACACCCCTTATTGTGCTCTACCTGAATTGTATGAATTGGCAGAATCATGCTAGTGCTAAACAAATAAAATTTCACAGACATCCTTTTAATTTCTCCATTTTCCTTCCACCTTTGTTGAAATAAAAAATAAAAACCATTAAATTACAAATTTACACGATTATATTTTTTCAAACTATCACTTCTATTTCTCTTTTCTTATGCCAGCTACTTTAAACCTGAAATTTCCCAATTCACCAAGACCAAGAAAGTACAACATAAATAATAATACAATATGTTAACACACAAACTTAGACATATGATTAAATAAATAAAGCTCCTAGAAACTGAGAAAGTGTAAACACATAGGAGAGTCATTTTTACATACACCGGCATCAGCAACTCCATGTGGACTGTTAGCTATCTTTGGTCTGAATGCATTAGGGTTCCTCTCCAAAACAGTTTCAATTGATGCCTTTCTATCAGCCTCATGTTCTATTGTATTGTGACATTTAATGCAGTTGCATCCATCACAATAAACCCCAGAGGCAAAGCACTCACAGTACCTGTCGTTAAGTATTACTAATTACACAATTGCTAAACCAGTGAATAATAACTGAACAAGATATGCATGCTCAGATCATCTATTAGGAAACCATATAAAAAAAACAATGTTGAAAAAGACGAATAATGAGGCATTCTCATGAACTTCCAATCGTATGAAATGAGAGACTTTGATCGTTGGAGGGATTTTACTTACAACTTCAAGCATCTAGAATTCTTACAATTGCATTGTTTCTGCTTTTTTGGAGTACCGTCGGTCGGTTCAAGATTACCCTTTTCTCGTGATTTTGGGGACTCCAACTTCCTGAATAAAGGAAAACAAACAACATGAGATTTATTAATAATTTCCAAGTAAATTTTTACTTCAATAAACCCATATATATAATAGATAAGCCACACACACACACACACACATTTTACTAACACTATAATACTTTAAACTTGCCACATCCATTCCACTCATCTATCAACACAGTCTTAACTCTTAATAACACAACTTATGATTAGTCAAATCTTGATAAACACAATCACCGAAACTACTTAAATTAAAAGAACCCTTTTTCACACTCGTAATCAACATTCCAACAAGAAGTGAAAAACTTGCAAACGCTCGAACAAAAAAGCCTTACAGAAATGGCTGCAACGGAGGCTTAGAGACTGCAGTTTTTTTCGAGGGGTGAGCCAAACGTGGAGCTGCGGATGGTAACTTGACAGTCCCCGAGACCTGAGGAAGTTCCCGCTGGGGAGATTTGGGCGGCATTACCATTTTCCTCGGGGGCAATTTCGTCTGAGCCGCCATTCTAGGAGGAGATTGGGACTTTGCGGGTGCAGCAATCTGCCTCGATTGAGCCAAAGCGAGCAATTTTGATTGTAACTGAGCCTGAGGGTGGTCCGGCAGTATCAAATTAGAATTTACCGCGGACTTGAGATTGACGGTGAAATCCAGCTGCCTCACCACCGGCGCCGCCACTGTTCCAGCCGCCGCCTCGCTCGGCTCCATCACTCCAGACAGCATAATTTTCTAAAACGAACAATTTGTAAGGGTTGCGAATCTCATGCAATGAACTTAAAAAGGGGCCAATTTCTTGAAAACCAAAACGTAACTTGATGAGATTTCAATCCGCGATCCTTGAGATGGAAAAAGAGGGATAAGAAAATCGGATCTTTCTCACTCAAACGGTATTGATTTACGAAATGAAATAAAGGGGAGANAAAAAAAAAAAAGGCTTTGAACACGAATGGCCGCCAAAATTGAATCTTTCTTTTTCGGTGAAGAAAATGAGCGAGAGGGTTAATGGAGTAGAGAGTATATACGCATACAATACATAAAGAGTAGGAGTCGGGGTGCTGTAGTGTATTGTATTGTACTGTATTGTGATCCCCTTGCCTTCAAATTATTTGAAATTTAAATTCGTGCAAAATTTATCGTTAGGGTTTGGTGGAACCGATGGATTGGGAGGACTTTTCTCCTTTTATTTCCTATCCAATTCCGTGCAGTGTCGGTTTAAGGAGAAATAGAATAAATTATCTGACCAGACTTACTTAATTTATCACCGATTTTCTCAAAATTTTCAGTATAATTATTAAAATTAAAAATAAATTATAAGAACACATTTTTATTAAAATTATTTTTCATTTATATATTTTAATAATTATTTTTTAGTACATAATAAATAATAAATACTGTCTATATCACATTATTGCATATTATGAAAAATGATTTTAAAACTCTAACCTTTGAAATGGAAGTTATCTGATGCAAATTTCACCATCTAAAAGTTATTTTTGTATATTCATTACTTTTATTCTTTTAGAACAGCATAGGTGCAACCGGGTGGAATTGTATGGAAGGCAACGAATTGCTTTAGATAGGACGAAAAATCCAACGAAGGTTAACGCACCTGAATTTTGGCGCTAAGGAGAAGATGATGAGAACGAGAAAAGTACACGTGTGCAACTATGATTGGTTCCGCTGCATTATATTTTGTACCGAAGTTTTTCCACCTCTCGCAAAGAAGGTTTCAAAATTTGAATTCGAAAAGCAATTTGAACATAATTTCAAGAAAGATATAATGGTGTCCAAAGTAATTTCAATTTATAGGATCAGTATAAACTTTGTATAATTTATTTTAAGAGTGTTTTTTTAAGATAAATCCTCAATTCTGAAATTAAGTCGGTGATTACTATCTATTAAAGTCTATTCCATAGTCAATTAATAGTACCAAAAGAAATGGCTCCTTTAAGAAAATTTGATTTATTACTGATTTTACGGTTCCATTTTTTCGTAAGTGGAAAATTAAAATAAAACATTTACGTTGTTTTAAGTTGAATGGAAAATTAGTTTGAAAGTTAAAATGTGGGGGAATTTGATTTTATGTAACTCAAAATTGAGTTTCAGTAACTCAAATATTGTTCCATTTGCAGACTTTTGATCTTTATTGAACGTTTGAACAATCCAAACAAGCTATAATTGTAAGCCCCGACACAGATTTATATATTAGCTCAACTTTATTTTCTAGAAATAGTAAGCTCATAATTATGCCGTATTTTATTTATGATAAATCGCATAATTTATTAAGTTCTTAAGTCTAACTCATGGAGAAAACGTTCGAATTTTATTTCGGGAACGAGATAAAATTCTAAGTCTAAGTCTTGATTTAAAATTTTAATCGAGTATTAGAAAAATCGGGAATTTAATAAATTTTCGAACGAGCCCATTTTCCGAGTCCATTTAAGTGGGCCATGTTATTCCGACCAACCGACCCAATTATTAAATTATCGAGCCATTAATTAATTCGGTGAAAGTCGAATTCATTTTGCGAGCTCAAGTCAATTTAATTCAAGGCCCGATAAGTTAAAAGCCCAAGATGACAACAAACCCTAGAACATCTCTTCTATATATATAGAGCATAGTTAGTTCATTTCCACTAGGGCTGTTCAATCGCTGAAAACCGAAGCGAACCTACCGAAATTTCGGTTTGCCCAACCTTCAAACCAAAAACCGAACTGACATTTATGGTTCGGTTCGGTTTGGTTTTTAACCGAAAATCTATCGGTTGGATCGGTTCGATTATCGGTTTATCCGATAAAATAGAGAAATGACAAAAAAAAATCCTTAGTTACAATTTCAGCAAGTCTCAAGTTCTAATTTTAAGCCTCAATAAGAAGAGGAAAGAGCTCAGTAAAAAAGGACATCCATAGCTCAAACACTCATAACTCAATTACATTGATAGCTCAGTTTAGTATTTCCTTGTGCTACAGAAACTCTCGGTAACGTAATTTGCTGATGTTTTGAAAAGGATGTTGCGCCTGCTTAGGCTAGCAAGTCGCAGCGAATTAATAGAAAAAATAAAATAAAATATTCAAGAAGTAAAAACCGAAAGAAAGAAATTGGTCTCTGCCTTGAGAGCTTGGATTGGTTCAATCGAGTGCAGCCCGTAGGAGGGGATTTGTGTGGCAATATTGTTTGAGAAGACTGTTAGAAACTGGGTGTCAAAATTACACGGGAATCCTACGAACTGATAAGTATTTTTTCAGTTCTTACAAATAATCTGAAAAATAGAAAAAAACAATTGAACTGAAAAAATAAATTACAACTGAAAATTAAATTAAAACTTAAAAAAAAACGGAAAGATTAAAGCCGAGGCGAGTAAAACTCTTTCCGCAAGAAGAATACGCCCCGTGTGGCAGCTAACGGTTCAGGCGTAACTTCCCCAAAGATACAACGGCAAACGTCTCTAAATCTGTAGCACACCAGATTTACGAGTTCCGGCGAACTGGAAGGGAGTCGAGAATTGAGCACTTAAAAATAAGAATAAAAATATCACTCTTTTGTTATTTCGATAACAAATAAATATTTCTATATTTTTCCTCTGATATTTTTATCCCTCCAAAATTATTTTGGACTGATTTTATTTTATTTCCTCTCTTTTTCTCTCTTCTGCCGTGTGTTTTTCTCTCGTTTTCTGTGTTTTCCTTCTTCTGCCGAGGAACTATATTTATAATGAAGAGAGAACAGATAAAACCTGCCCATACAACAATAAAGCCTGCCCACACAATTATTAAAGCAAGGTGATGCCAGATGAACCTTCACATGTATGAAGTGTGAATTAGCCAAATTAGTTTATTAAATTTAACAAGAGTAAGTGGATGTTGGGAGGGTTAATGAAAGAAACAAAACTCGGTGGTTGGGGATATTAAGAAAAGAAAAGAAAACTCAAGTGGGACTCATATTTTAATACACTCATTATTACAATCCCCCACATGAGTGTAAATTAAATATATATAGATTATTGTGCTCAACCCTCACAAAACTCTATTGCATCAGAAAAGGTAGTTTTTGGCTTTGAACCTTTCTTTGTAAACATCATCGGATGCACTGGCGGACTAGTGGACATAATGCCTTAAACTATTCCTCCATAGTGTACACCTAGACAATGACATTTACATAATAGAGTCTTAACTTCATTCCGTTCTATCGTTGTATCCGTTTTGGCCATGGACAACACTTTGTATTCATAAGTGTTTACATTTGAAGCGGCCCTCACTTCACACTTATATAGGTGACCTCCCTATCGAGAGTATCCTGTTATACTCCACCTTTATAAGGTTAGGGATTCATTAAAAGTCCACATGACTTACCCTCACCAAAATCAACAGGTCATCTTGCATTTGGAGTGCTCTAGGGAATAGCTTTGGACATTCATATGTTCCAAGTGCTCAACTGAATTTTCATAGCTTAGTTTTTTCTTTGAACCAAGTTCGTGGGATCTCCACTCAGAATGGTAGGGTTACCACTATGATCATTCTTTATATTGTGGATTTTAAGCCCATTCCCTCTAGCGAAACTACCAATTGATCTCTATTCAATTCTTTCGTCAAAGGATCAGCCAAATTTTCCTTAGACTTCACATAGTTAATGGAAATAACACCATTTGTGATCAATTGGCGTACGGTATTATGTCTACGACGAATATGTCTAGACTTACCGTTATACAAGTTGCTTTGTGCCCTTCCTATAGCAGCTTGGCTATCACAGTGAATCATCACAGACGGCAAAGTCTTATTCCAACATGGAATATCGGATAAAAAATTTCTAAGGCTTCTTCACCAGCTTTATCTAAAGCGATGAACTCCGATTCCATCGTTGATCGAGCTATACACGTTTTTTTTTGTGGATTTCCACGAAACTGCACCTCCTTCAATACAGAAAACATATCCGCTAGTAGAGCGAGAATCTTTCGATTCTGATAACCAGCTTGCATCACAGTACCCTTCAAGTACAGCTGGGTATCTCGAATATTTTAGCCCGTATTCAAGGGTGTACCTCAAGTACTTAAGTACCCTTTTCAAAGCATTCCAATGCTCATGACTGGGATTGCTCGTAAATCTGCTCAACTTATTCACTGGATAAGCCAAGTCTGGTCGTGTACAATTCGTCAAGTACATCAAACTCCCTATTATCCGTGAATATTCCAACTGAGCCACTGGTTGACCTTTATTGGCTACCAGATTTATACTAAGATCAAGGGGCGTCTTACACCTAGACTGTGCACTGTCATAGGCATCAAATTTCTTGAGCACTTTCTCTACATAATGAGATTGTGACAAGACAATTCCATCTTGGGTTCTGATAATCCTTATTCCAAGAATAACATCAGCCAAACCCATATCTTCATGTCGAAATTTCTTTTCAACATTCTTTTCGTATCCATGATCACTTCATGGCTGCTCCCCATGATCAACATATCATCTACATATAGACATACTATCACAAATGTATTTAATGTACTGTTGACATAAACACATTTGTCACATTCGTTGATTTTGAAATCATTTGACAACATCACGTCATCAAATTTCAAATGCCATTGTTTCGGAGCTTCTTTCAGTCCGTACAAGGATTTGATCAATCTACACACCTTTCTCTCTTGTCCAAGTGCAACAAACCCTTCAGGTTGTTCCATGTATATTTCTTCTTCCAATTCACCATGCAAAACATTTGGTGAATCTCAAGATTGTGCAAAGCAGCAATCGAGAGAAGCACTCTTATCGACGCTAAACACGTAACTGGTGAATAGGTATCAAAGAAATCATACCCTTCCTTTTGTTTAAAGCCTTTGACCACCAATCTTGCTTTAAACTTATCAATCGATCCATCAGCTTTATATTTCTTCTTTAGGATCCACTTGCATCCTAAAGGTTTACAACCATCAGGGAGATCAACCAACTCCCAAGTATGATTTTGCATAATGGGCTCGATTTCGCTATTTACAGCTTCTTCCCAGAGTGGTCCATCTGGGCTGGACAGAGCTTCCTTAAGGGAGCTCGGTTCATCGTCCAACATGTACGTAATAAAATCAGGTCCAAACGTTTTCGCCGTTTTTAACCTTTTACTACGTCTCGGTTCTTCATCAGTACCCTCTGGTACAGAACCACTAGCAGTTTCATACGTTCA